CAGGTCGCCAGGCTACAATGTAGAGCACGATCATTAACCCACCAGGCTAATCTGTTATTCAGCAGATCCTCTTAAAACACTACAATGGGCCAGATTGTCTCTTTCCTTCTAGCTCTGAGTGATGCACAACTGCACTACCCCAGAGCAGTCCAGGGAAAGAATTGAGCCAGAGACATAATTCTTGCCCTGGCTGGTTCCTCCCTTGCTCCAGTGAGGCAGGAATCTGCTAGTGATCTATGCTGGTAGCAGATGACTTCCCCCCTGCCCTGGCTCAGATATGCTGGGTAGTGTGCTGGGGAGGGGGAGCAGAGTCAAGACTCAGTATCATCATCCCCATTTTACAGATGGGGAAACTGAGGCACAAAGAGGTAACGTAACTTATCCAAAGTCACAAAGCAGGCCATTGGCAGAGCTAGGAATAGAACCTAGGTCGCCTAAATCCCAGTCCAGTGCTCCGCTAGGCAATGCTGCCTCCCACAATGCCAAATACAACTTTAAATATTAAAAACCATGACAAAATAAATTCTCTGTCTTGCTGAGGTTTGTATGTAACCTGTAACAGCCAGGTTTGGTTTATTGAAGAGTCTGCTCCCAGCTGAGAGGTTACTGTTGCGTGAATGAATTTCTCAAAACATGTGGTGATGCAGGCCACACAAAATTAAATTGAGCATTTGGCCCCCAATCTATGAGCATTCTAGTGAGTAACAAAACCATGAATACTGGACATTTTGTAGAATGTTATTACAACTAGTACTATGACATTTTAGAGAAATCCGAGCACTTTAAAAAAATCAATGGGAGGACTGAACCAAATATAACTATTAATAACAGGGTTCTTTGAGCAATAGGCTTTGCAGGTGTGAGTGCTGTTTGTTGATAACTGATCAGAATTTCCCTGACCCAAGGCAAATGCAAAGGTATAAAATGGAACTATTGTTGTTAGAACTCAACAAAGAATTAGTAATTTGTAAAATTTTAAATGGCCGTCTTTATCAATAATAATTTTAAATCAAAATTTACTCATCTCTCTGGTATGCACTCAATCAGAATTTTTTTTTATGAAACATAACAATAAAATTTTAGATAATTGTTGCATTTTTTTTCCTGGCCAATTCTCTTTTTAAGTGAATGTTCCAGTTGGAATGAGTTATAGCTCCTTGGAAACAATTACAATTCCCATAATTTTGCCAGCAAATTTCTAGCTTCATATTTAACTTTAGTTAAAGCTTAATATGCAAGCTAGTTGGTTGTATCTTCCAAGAGAAGCTAGATTTACTTCATTAGGAAAAAATGCAGTCAGTTCTGTGCTGTTTTTACTAATCTTCAGTGTGCAAATTCTTTTATGTTGTACCAGAAGAAAATGTTTTAGTGTTACAAGTACATAAATTATTAGGGGAAAAAGAGTACTAGGAACACATTTCCAAAGAAAGCATGGTCTGCCACCTTACAGACTGTTTGTAGTGTTGTTGTAGTTGTGCTGGTCCCAGGACATTGCTGAGACAAGGTGGGGGAGGTAATATATTTTATTGGACCAACTTTCTTGCTGAAACAGACAAGCTTTTGGGCTATACAGAGCTCTTCTTCAGGACATTTCTTCAGGACCTGAAGAAGAGCTCTGTGTAGCTCAAAAGCTTGTCTGTTTCACCAACAGAAGTTGGTCCAATAAATACCAATAGCTCATTCACCCACCTTGTCTCAATTTACAGAATGACTTTCAAAACTATCCTGTTTCTTGTCAATGTCTATTACCAGGCATCAAGTATCTTATGGATGTAAAGCTTTTTAAGCACAAACAAGGAATGGAGACCAATCATTAACATAAATGCGGCAACAAATGACGTGCCAAATCTGTACGGAAGACACACATGGCTATTTGTAATTTAACAACATAACCCTTTTAGCATATGGAAATAAGGTTCACAAAAGTGAAAGTATTAGCAACCAACACAGGAAATCTATTACTATTAACTGAGCAGTAGGGCACTATAGGTTGGCCAAGGGAAGGAGATTGAAAAGCACTAAAAAATCTCAAGGTTTAACCAAACCACGAAACAGAGCTTTTCCTTAAGGCAGTGGTTTTCAACCTTTTTTCATTTGCGGACTCCTAAAAAACTTCAAATGGATGTGCAGCCCCCTTTGGAAATCTTAGAAATAGTTTGTGACCCCGCAGGGGTCTGAGGCCCACAGGTTGAAAAGCACTGCCTTAAGCCAGTGGCTCTTTTCCTCCAAATTCAAACTCTAGCTACTATGTCCTTTGACTCCTCATAACTGTTCCCAACTTTACTTGTGGAAAATATCATAGCAAAATATTATTTAATCACCTCCCTGTTCCCATCCCTTTGTATGTTGTGTGTCTTCTTAGATTGTAAGCTCTTGCGGGCAGGGCCCATGTTTAGTTCTAATACTATAACAGCAGGTCTCAGGACCTAGAGATGGTTATACAGCACCTAGCACAAGGGGCCCCATCTTGATCAGATTCTCTGAACTCTATTGCAATATAAATGGTAACGAAGAAGAACCGCAGCAGCCATCTCATTATTTTAAAGCGAGTTGAGATGTGCTTTACATAATTACTTACTTTTCTGAGTGTTTTTCTTTCCAATGTCACTGAAGATTTTCTTCATGTGGAAAGTTAGAGACTAAGAAAATAATTTCTTATTGCTCCATAACAGGGCAAATAATGAAGTACAAATCTTATTTTCACCTGAACGTAATACATTGGTTAAATGTGCATAATTATGTCTCCCTCTAGTGGCCAATCCACACTGAAGTTAAGAACCTGCTACTCACTCACAGTTACTGTGTTAGCTAGAGGTTTGTGCTTTAAGTGCTAGTGTGGCGTGTGCCTGGTTTCCGTGATGTGTACACATGTGCCCAGTGATTTGTTACAGGGGCTCTGTAAATTAAGAGAGCTCTGTTATCAAGACAATATTATCAGTAACCTGCATACTTCTTTTTATCAAATGTTTCTAATCTGTTTCTCTTTAAAAATCAAGAATACCATTTGCTGTGTAAAAGCTGAGAACACCTGTCTGAACTGACTACACACCCTTCGGGGAAAGAAAAGAAGTTTCTACTGAGAACAAGGAACAGATGACTTGCTAGAATGGCTACTTTAGACAGCAAGTCCAAGCGGTCTGCACTTTCCCAGGAGACAGGAATGCCATGCAAATGAAGTATGCAATTCTTATTGAACCAGGGCTTTTATCTCAAAGGAATCCCAATGAAGACATTCATGAATCAATGTGGGAACAAATAAACAAAACAGCTCCCTCATGTTATGAGAAAATATAAAAATATTTTGCCAATTTAGTGTAAAACAATTGACTTGAAAATGGTGTGCAATGGTTTCATAAAAGAGCCATTAAGTCACAACTTCTTTTTCAGAGAACATCTTTTTAGCATGATAGTTTTTCTACCTGGAACATTGTAGCTGATTTTATAAAAAGTGATTCAGCAGAAGAGTAATTGGTACAGAGTTGAAATCTACAACATGCTTACATCTGTACCCCTAAAAAAACTAAATTTGACAGAGATAAAAATTAAGCAGCAGATGCTGTAATTTGACAAAAAAGACAATCATTTCCAACTAACAGATATATAATGATACTTCAATATCAGTAGAAGGACCAAAATATCAAAACAGTTTAAGAAGTGTCCTATTGCATTTTAAAATAAGGCAATGCACAGCTAGGTATATCTAATAAACGTGTAGAAAATGAACTCCTAGAAGAAGTTCTTCTCTAGAAAAACCAAGTACAGATAATTTAAGGGTTGGGATGCAGCATGTGTTGTAATTCTCATTGTCCCTTTTAAAAAGTAAAATGAAAATCAGGTTATAATGAATGATGCATGTAATGCATTAGAATTTGCCTACAAATTTTCACAACTATCAAACTTCTGACACTAGTGTCCTAGTTGAATATACTGATTCTGGTACCTAATACTGTTATTATCAGAGTAATTAAGTGACTTTGTACATTTAGGGTTTGATCAAAAGCCCACTCAACGGCTTCAATGGGCTTTGGATCAGGCTCTTATTTTGTAAAGATTGCTAAATAGGTAGAAGAATCTAGAAAAACCTAAACTGTTTTCCATGCTTCCTTTAACCTCCTAACAGAATGACTCTTTGCTCTTACTAATTACTTATTTAAGCATTCATATACTGGCTTGGGAAAACTTGTATCAGTTTTATTACAATGAATTGTAAGATGCCTGTCTATTATATAGATCTCACAATCTGGAGCTATGGCATATCTCCAAAATAGTTCACAGTACCCACAATTAATAAGGTACTGCAAAATGGCACTAAAGTGCATTAGTAAGCTGAATATTTGTGGGGCTAAAAGGTGCTGTGCAAGTTTATAAACTACTGCTTTGTCCTTATACACAACATCAAATTTCTCTAGGGGGAGTTAACTGTGGGTTGTCATTGATTCAGACATTAATGGAGGATTGTCCTACCTTTCACCTTTATACAAAATATAAATGCCCCCTTACTCACAGATTTGTCTGTCAAAAAGAGTAAAAACAGACGTAATGAATTGTAAAGAATGTATTTTAAGATCAGTTGCTAAAAGTAGTTATAAAAAATGTATATGGTATGCCAGATGAAATTTACGTGGGCATGCTCTGCAGAACTAGCTATGGATCTTCAACTCAAATGAACATGCTGTTCATTTTTATCAAAACATGAGTACTAAACTACCATAAATAAAATACAGTACAGAACACCTAAACCTTTTTCATACATTAATTACTTTTACATAAAAAGTCACTATCTTTTTCAGATATGTTGAAAATGTAGGACTCTAAACATGATTATTTCAAAGTATCGGTTTAACAATCTTGCACAGGCCCAACAATCAAAAACATGAAGCTTTGATTCAGATAGCTTGGCAGGTTCCACATAGTTTGACAGGTAGGCTACTTTGAAATATGTATATATTTTTAATTTATACATTTTCTATCAAAAGACAGTTTGATTTCTGTTTTTAATCTTTACATGAACTGTTTTTGTGCAATGCCACAGCCATGTAGCTTGAAAGAAAAAAACAAAATGTGTCTGGAATATTAACCATAGTCCAAGTTTTCTTAGTCCACAGCTTAAAAAATTATGATTCTAGGAAATCCAGTTGGAGTGCATTTAAATAAAGGGATTCAGTCCTAGAATATCTTAATAAATTAAACAGGTACTGTTTCCACTACAGATGATTTGATACACTCTTCATGCAGTCTGCTCTTATCTGAAAGGCTTATAGAATTCTCAGCAGCTTGCTCTGGTATTTGACTGTCACCGTTCAAAGCTGAAACAAATCCATCTTGAGAGGTACTTTTCAAGTATGAGTGAAATTCCACTTGAGGGTGGCTTGGCCTATGTTCAGTGTATAAACTATTACATGGAACGCTGTTATCACTTTCTGAAGAGGAGCAGCAAACTATCACAGAGGGGTTTGCAGAAGGGTAATGAGAGCTGCTGTAACTTTCCTCTGATTGCCGTGTGTAGTCAACAAACTGCTCTGAAGTCATATTGTAAGGCACCAGAGAAAGACTACCATTTTTAACAGTGTCCCTTTCTGAATAGGTCTCAGTGATCTGGTTATTACTGCCAGGGGCATGGTTCTCTATTTGGTAATACAGAGTTGAAGAGTTAGCATAGTATGAGGCATTTTTAGAGTGGCTTTCACGCACTGCAGTGCCATCAGAATAGCAAAGGACAGAAGGAAGAGGCACCACATCGGCATGGGAGCCCATGCCTTCCACAAAATCATCAGCTTTTTCTTCCTCCTCCTCCTCTTCATCATCGTCATCATCATCAGATTCACTGGGTGCTAAACTTTGTGTACTAGAATCTGTAACTCCACTACAAAAGCTACTTCCATCTTCTTCCTCCTCCTCCTCTTCCCCAGGACAATCCAAATCTTCAGCAGACTGCAGGTGCATCACTGCAGCCTGGGGGTCAGTTTCAATCTCAAAATTCTCTGCAAGTGAATATTCTACCGGGTGGGGTGCTGTACTCAGAGAACTAGTGTGAGCACTTACCTCAGTGTGGCAACCATTTAGTGCAGGAACTTGCTGCTCTCTATTTTTCTCCAATTCAAGCTTCATTATTGTATGCAAAAAGTGAGTCCGTACACGGATGGGGTTAAATTCAATTCTACCTGCTGTATTGCTGCACCCTTCTTTAGTGCAACCACATGGAAAAGACATACGATCCACCTTTTAAAAAGAGAATACAGATTAACCATATGTACAATAAACCCAATGATGCAACAGACACTAGAGAGACTAGAAGCATAAAATAGCAAAATGAGATTCATTTGTGGAAAGTGCACAGTACAACATATATGGAAAAATAAACCAAAGCAAAGATATTCATTGGGAGGGAGAACCTGGAAAGCAATAATATCATACAAAACAGAAAGTTAAACATGGATTTACAATGCGGTGTAGCAGAAAACAAAAAGACAATACAGTTTTAGGTTTCATACATCACAATGTGGATCAAGGGATAAATGATTTATCTTTCTATGGCTCTGCTATAACCACACCTGAAATACTGTGTTCATTCCTTGGGCCCTCATTACCAGAAAGAAGCTAATATACTGGATGGAAATCAGATGAAAGAAACAAAAATGATTAATGATTAGGAGGGAATGGCTTGTGCAGAAAGGTGGGTTTTTTTTAAATTAAATATAGTCAGCTTGACAAAACAATAACTAAGGGGAGAAATGACCACAGAAGTTAGAAATAGAAACTGGGACACATTTTAAATGAGGCTTCAGTCAATTGTGGATACACTACTGTAGACACAATGAACTGTAGGCTGAAAGAAGAGAATTTAGATATCTACCCACCTGATTGGATCCACAAATCAGGTACTGTAGTTAGATGCCAAAAATTTTATCATTTTCACCTACCTGCACTCAAATGCAGGTGCAAAATTAGAGGCCCCCCAAGGTGATCTAGTCCATATCCCTGTCAACGCAGAACTGAAAACAGTCTATGAATATTCAAGAGGGTAAACACCTGAGGGTAGTAGGATGAGTTTAGGCAGATTTAAGAAATTATTAAAAGGAAAATTTAGAGAAACTCAATGATGGTGAGATCTACTGGGCTGTATAATAGTGACCCAATGGAACTGATGAAGCCTCCTTCCTTGGGACACTTAAAATGATCCTGTAGAAACCACCAGTAAATGTACATTAGGGAATACATTTTTGATTGTCAGAGAGATAGACTAAATGACCTAATACCAATGGTCCAGCTCTAACATTTATGATTCTATCACACGTATTAATTGAAAGATGGTAAAACATGCTTCATTTATTGGTTCTTACTCTGAGTTTGGATTTTAATATTTGATTCAAAACTACTTGTGATTATAAATTAGGAAACATACAATCTGAAGTAACTGCAGAGTTATACTCAGGGGAAAAGATGTACAGTATTTCTAAAATAAAAATGAATCTTGTGAAATCAGCAGTCATATAGGTTAGTGACTCCTCTGTTGGATGTTTGGTTAAAGGCCCATAGAAGAATATGAGGAGCTGAGCATTTGTATTCAGAGGGGAAAATGCCAGTTATTGCATGTCTTCAAACTAATCACAATAAAAACCATATTTTATATATCTATATCTATATATTTATTTTACTGGTTTTGAGACCCACAAATTTCAGCACTTAGTAATTCATTACCCATAATACCTCTGTTGTGGGTTGTTTATGCCCTGCTAGTAAGGAATGTCTGTAATATAGATCTTTACCTGGCATTTTATGCCTGCAAGGCTGCAAGTACACGTTTCTGGATCACAGAACACTCGGCAGTCACAGCCACAATCCTCTCTGGATAGGCGGATAGCCCGCAGCTCATGTTTTTCTTCCACATCAATCTTTTTCACTCCAGAGGCTCGTAGCAGCGCCCTACGTTTTTTTGTTGGTAGGGGTTGTAGAAAGAAGTATTCATCTACTTCTGTGTTGTCTAAATCAATATCATCATCAGAAATGTCATCCAACGTCAGAGTATTAGCCTCTTCAGATTCCACTGTACCATTCTTTGTCATCTATGATATAGAGCAGTTAACACAGTATTAAGACTATACACTTCCTGAAACTAAAATTTTTAGTGAGAACATATTAATTATAATGTATTTGTTTGTATGTGAACTATAAGAACAGTAAGAATATACAGTATTATACATGGTTCTGTAAAACTGATATTCAGTAAGTCAGGATTCTTAATAGATTTTCTTCTGAAGAGACTAATTTATTTCAGATGTCATTCCTTTCGGAATTGTCATGCAAAATATGGAAGAAAAAACAATAATATTATCCCCCATATTGCTAGGAGTGGACATTTTAAAATTATTCGTCAGTGCTTTATGGTGACAGCAAAGTGCTGGACAAGGATTAACTAAAACCAATGGGCAACATTAGTGTTAGGATCAATATGCCCTTTTGTGTATAGACAATACAATCATGGCTGAAATCGTGACAGCTATTCACAAACTAAACTGTCTTTGCAGGAAAAATAATTACTCCATCAGTGGAGTAAAAATGGAGAAACACACCAGAAGAAAAATACTATTATGTACTGTGTTGTTGGCATTTGAGACACAAGTACCCAAGGAAAACATTACCAGAGTTAGAATTTGTATGCAAAGTATGTGTGCGTGTGTGACATTCTATACCTTCAGGCAGCATCCTGGAACCCCCACATTCCTCATTTTTATATAATTGTGATCTTGCATATAAAGCATGCCTTGTAAGGTATCAGGGGAAAGGTTATGATCTGCTAAAAGTCATTTCTCTATCCATATATGCATATCATTAATGCATATGCAGTTATGAGAATTGTGTTGTCACTAAAACATGCTGTAAATTGGGGAATTAGCCAGATATTAGCTCCCCAGAGGCAACAGCAAGGAAAGTAACCAACACCTGGGTGGGGTATCAATCAACCCATCTACAACCATTGTCCAGCAAAGGAGTAACAATGCAATGACTCACCTGCATGATGTCACCCCAGGGGAATTGCTCAACCTTGCCTGGAGACTCAGCAATGCACCCAGACATGCCTGGACTTGTGTTTTCCAAGCACATGGACCGAGGGTATAAAACAGACACAGTGGCCACATGCTGGGCCCTTCTCCTGCCCCCACTTACACTGCAAGCAACTCAGACACTGAGAAGAAGACAAGACTCAACAGAGGAGATTGGCTCAGGTTTAAGGTATTGGCCCAGGTATATTAAGGACTGCAATATCCATCAGGGTGAGAAAAACTGCTTAATCTAGATGTTGCCCAGTCTAATAGGGTTGAGAGTTTAGACTGCGTGCTTATATTTTATTACTTTTGGTAACTAACTGACTTTTTGCCTATCACTTAAAATCTATCTTTTATAGTCAATAAGTTTGTTTAATTGTTTATCTTTACCAGTGTGTTTGTATGAAGTGTGGGGCAAATCTGTTCAGGTTTTGCAAAGGCTGGTGTATATCCACTTTCAATTGTTGAAGCGGTGAACCAATTAATAAATTTGCACTGCCCATCTTGAGCAGTGCAAGACGGTATATTCCTGAGGTACAGTGCTGGGAGGACTTAGCTCTAGTGCCTTTCTCTGTGTGATTCATGAGTGGCTCTGGGAGCATTCATGCAATATAGCTGGGTGTGGGGCTCCACGTGCGGTTGTGCTGAGTGATCACAGCTCCTGGAGAGGTTTGCTGCTGGTCACTAGCAAGGCATTGTGAGAGACAGCCCAGGCTGGAGAGAGTTAAAGGGGCACAGCGGTCCCACAGTTCCAGGCTGCATCCCCGGGGGATCCCGTCACAAGATGGAATCAGAGAAAGGTCAAAGTATATAGTACTGTGCTTTACATTTAGGAACACAGGGATTACTGTATAGCAACAAAGGGATTACTGTACTAGATCAGACCAGAGGTCCATCTAATCCAGTATCCTGCCTCTAGCAATAGCCAGTACCAGATAATTTAGAAGAAGGTGCAAGAATCCTGCAATATACAGATGTGCAGTGATCGGCCCCTGTCATTTGGTCCTGATTTATAATAGTTGGAGATTGGTTAAATTCTGAAGCATGAGATTTAAAATCCCTTCCAAAAAATGTATTATCATTAATTATAACAGCTCTGGATATTCTTATTAACCATATAAATGTCCAATCCCTTTCTGAATCTTGCGAAGTCCTAAGACTCAATGACTTCCTGTGGCAGTGAGTTCCACAATCTAATTACACTTTGTGTGAAAAAGCATTTAATCAATTTTGAATTTGCCATCTTTTAATTTCATCGTATGCTCCTTTGTTGATATGAAACAAGGACAGAATTTCCTGATCTTCCTTCTCATTACCATTCGTTATTTTATATACTTTATCAAGTCCCATTTTATTTATCTCCTTTCTAAAATAAACAATCCCAATCTTTTCAATCTTTCTCAATCATTTTTGCTGCCCTTCTCAGAGCCCTCTCTAATTCTACAATATTCTTTTTGAGAGGGGATGACCAGTACTGCACACAATATTCTAGATCTGGATCTACTATGGATTTATATAATGGTTATATTTTCCATATTATTCCCATTCCTTATGCATCCCACCATCCCATTCCTTATGCATCCCAACTTCTTGTTTCCTCTTTTGACTGCAGCTGCATATTAAGCAGAGGTTTTCATTGCGCTGTCTACAGTGACGGCCAGGTCCCTTTCCTGAGCTGATACAGTTAATTTAAAACATTAATAGGAGTACAAGTAGTTTCAAAATTCATTGTTGCTTCCAAGCTGCCCATTGACCAAGACTATTTAGGTCTCCTTCATTTAAATTCCTCACCGTCCTCTCGGGACTTGACTAACCTAATTAAACTTTGTGTCATCTGCAAATTTGATTATGCCACCACTCATCCTCTTTTGAGATTATTAATGACTATATTAAACAACACAAGACTAGTCAGAACCTCAAGGCTTCCTGCTGGTAACCTTTTACCATAATGAAAATTGACTATTTAAACCTACTCTTTGTTTTCTGTCTTCTAGCTAGTTTTGATCCATGTCAATACTTTGCCTCTCATCCTGTGACTACTTAACTTTTTTAGTAGCCTCTTGTGCGCAAACTTATCAAAGCCCCCCTGGAAATCTAAAGAAATTATGTCAAACAGATCTTCTTTGTCAAATTATTATAAGAGATTAGTGAGAGACAATTTTCCCTTGCAGAAACTGTGTTGGCTATACCCTCTCATATCATATTGCAAACTTCTTGAGCTTGGGGATCCCTTACCAATTTTCCTTCTCCAAAATTCATGCCCCTCTCTATAAACAAACAAACAAACAAACTTGTATTAATGTTTTCATAATGTTTTCTTCCTCTTGCTACAACAGGGTGCTAAGTGTTAGGCTCTAGCTGTGTGTGTTTTTAAGGGCTGGACCGGAAGATGATGGAGGACATGGAAGTAATCTTTTGACTGACCTACAAAATACTGAGCAAGTTACAGAAGGAATGATAAAGTTACAGTAGTGGAGTCCAGGAGTATCTTTGGCCGCAGATACCTTGAAGTCCTTGCTTAGGCAAAGAAACCATTGACATTAGTAAAAGCTGAGTAAGAACTTCAGTGTTTGGCCTTTTGAGAATACCAGCCCTTTGGATGCAATTGTATACATTCAAGGAGAATGGTGTAAGGTGCAGGGATAAATATATTAAATTTCTATTCTTTTCTAAATTATATATGCCTCTGAGAACTCAGTTATATAAAGACTCAAGAAACCATGCTATATCCTTTGGGATAGACGAGTATTGTTAAGAACCTCAAGAGTTCTTGATGATATTCTGTTACTTTCTAATGTATCTTCTTCCTCTCATTAATACATCATTTTAGAATAAGATATCTGGCAGGACTTAACACAACCATCCAAATGTCACCTTTTCATATACTAGCACTCTTTGTCTTAAATTTATAACACTCCAATCCAGCAAGCACCACCACAATTGAGTAAGCGCACCTCACGTGAGAGCACTGGTCCAGATTCACTGTTCCAGCCAAGCTGCTTGGGTGAAAGACTGGGATTGCAAGGGAAAAGGTGGCTTTAATTCACCTTAACATTCCCTGGATCCAAGGACCAGCCCAGCCCTTTAGACTGCTCTAACGTATGCCTGGCTTCCCAGTTTGAAGGTAGCGTTGGACTAATTTCCTTGTCTACGATGGAGCTCACTGCTTAGTTATCCCTACCAGAGAGTACATTTCTGGGGCTCATAAAAATACTTCTGAAGAGAAAACTATTTGACTTGAGAGTGGACCAAATGGCAAGTATTTAAAAATATAGGACGGCACATCTGGATCCCACAAATTGTACATTCCATCCAATTTCAAGATAAACAAATTGAGCACTGTGGTGTGCTACTGAGATAGTCAATATATTTTTACAAACAAAGCATAAACATTTCAGCAAGTGCAGTAATACAAATTTGTTTTGTGAAGTGAGGCTTCCTTTGTTATTGTTATAAAAAAACATTTTGTTTAAGTGGAAAACCAAATGCATACATTCCCGGTCTTCATCTTTCCTGAGCATGATGATTTCAATGAAGGTGTGCTGATTTACACTCGCAGGGGATCAGGGCCCATATCTCTGAATTTGTGACTTCTGTAGGTTTAATTCCTCACCTAATGTCACATTTACACACTAAATTAAAAAAATACTGAATGTAAAGGAGACAACTTTGATCACACATTCACCAATACAGCACCTTTTGTTTGGATTTATTATTTCAGATCTCTGATGCCACAATTTGAGGCACCAATAAACAAACTCAGGGCCAAATCCTGAGGTTCTCATTCCAATTTTACTCAGACAAAATCTCAAGCCTTTTTCATATTAGCTTATTCTGTACTCCTGTGGGAGCATGCTTGAGTAAGGATTGAGTTAAATCAGCATAAGGACCTCAAGATCTGGTACCCAGTGAGTTTATCTGAATATTTTCCTATCCATAAGGAAATATATATTCAAATACATGCCCTACACTTTCATTATAACAACAGATATTCTTCATCCTTTTCTGCTCAACCTGCT